CTCATAAAATCTAACACACAACACATATTATAGCTTTAACTACTATAGTCTACAGTAACATTTCTGTTTTTATCTATCTCAATAATATTATTAAACTCAGCATAAACTATACAGTTAATTGTTTGTATTAGTGAGGATTCAAATCGTACTTCTAATCTTACACTACCATGCTTTATGAGATTCCAATAAGCTGAGGGGTTGGCTGATAAATCAGGAGTTAAGTCAAATGCTAATAGACAGTAACCTTCGGCATACTGTTCACAAGAGATTCCATTTCCTTCATTAAGAAAGTGAATACCAGTTCCCGAGAATAGAGTATGAAATGCTGATGTAAATACACTATTATTAAGAGATGGTTGCAAAGCTTTTGAAGGTATTTGTTGACCATCAATATATAAGCTGAAAGAATTAATACCATAGTTTTCAAAGTTAAATGGTTTTTTAGTAAGGGAACCATTAAATGCAGAATTGTTCACAAATCCAATTATACATCTTTTGGGTACCTGCCCTAAAAATATATTATCAAGAGTTTTTCCTTGAACACCCGATGGAATTGTTAAAACTTTTACTTCAGCTCGAGTAATAGGATATTTAGCAGTGGTAGAAGCTAAAACTTTTTGATGTGCGAGTAATACACTTGGATTAATTCGTGCTCGTCGAACAATAAGAGTTGCGTCCGTAATGCAAACTTTAAACTTTACATCGTTTGACCCAGCAATTAAATTAAAACTCTCTCTCGATCGAACCAATTTAACACTCATTTCAACACCATTAATTAAAAATTTATCTTGGTTGAAAATGTCACCGTGAAGATGACCAATCATTTCTATTTCCTTACTTTCACTAATCAATTCCTGTCTTTTAACAAATCCTATGTGTTTACCATCCGTAGAAACCATTTTACCTGCCGTATCATCATACCAAAGACTACAAGTAAGATGAGATTGTTTAGCAGCAGGAGCATAGTTTAAAAGTGTTTCCATGTATGCTCGATATGCATAGGTATTATTAGGTGGTGATGCAAGTTTTTGGTTTAAATAAATATCAAGTTGACTAAAAAGTGAATGCAACCAATTATTTACAGGTGCTACTATTGTAGTTGATATCAAGTTAGTTGAATCTTGATTTAATATTTTTGCCTTTACGTGGAGTAATGTATGAGACAAATCTATGTAGTCATCGCCTGTCCCGGGAACTTGAAACTCGATAGATCCATCATCACCAAGAGATGAAATTGGTTTATAATGAATCCACAATCCATTTTCAATGCTAGTTTGTGTAGGCGGTAGTGCAAACAAATCAAATTCTGACTTAACGCACTCGCAAGAATGATTATGAAGGAAAGACATATTTAATTTGAAAATATATCTTTGATATTTTTTGGTTTGAGACCAAGTTTTTTCGCAGCTTGCACTTTAGCAGTTAATGGTGGAATGAACGAGGTCAATCGTTTTCTTTTAGTTTTATACCCAGATCCTGTCATGTTAAATTGATTAATTTTCTCATCAGCCTTTCGTTTTAAATTAGTACTAACTTGCTTTAGACGATCTTTTATTGAGGCTTCCATAGGACGCGCTTGAACCATATCCGATAAAAGTCCTACTCCAGCGCCTAATGCCTCCTTACCAATCACTCGGGCACCACTTGAAAGTAAAGGTAAAACTGATCTAAATAACCCCCCTAAGAAGCTCCCAATACCATGACCGCGTTGGTATGGTGAACCCTTATAAATTACTCCAACTCCTGACCCAGCTTGATGTGTATAATAATTTTCATATGGACATTTATGATGATCACGAAGAGAATTCATTATTATAATTTTCGGAAATGTAGTTTAATACACACGGTTCCAAACTGGAATGGTATTTTTTGTCCTGTGCTCGATCTTATAACTATTTCCAGCGTATCGAACTCTCTTCGCATAACAGGTAAGTAGTGAGGTTGAGAGAAAACGTGCATTTTATTTGCACCATAAATGTATTTTGTAGGATCTAATGAAATGACTCTTAGTAAAGGAGTCATAACATCACCCACAATCTGAGGATCGATAATGTCGCAATATAGAAATAGTTGAGATGGTAACCCTAAGTGTAAATTAGCAGGACACTTTCCAAAATTTCTCTCTAGGAGATTTTTATTTGGTTCATAACCTAGTTGTAAACTTAATTTGGGTGATAATGTTACGGATGTTATATTTTTATCCAAAACAGAAATAGACACAAATTTTGTTATTTCATCATAGCGAAATTTCAAGTTCTCTCCGATACCATTACCATATCATTAACACTCTTAAAATATGCTCAACGTTATCATAGTTGGTAGCTGGAATATGTTTTTTGTAGTATACTATGGATGGTTTATCTTCATTAGGCATTAACATAGAGTTTGTAATGTATATAACATTTTCATGATCTTGAACAGTAAACATGGTACATGGATATTGAAACTCGACAACTCCAACCGACCATTCACCTTCTAATTTAATAGCTTTTGGTAATTATGTTGAAAAATTTGTGGTCTAATTATTAGGAAAGTATTCCATTGAACTATTGGTGAGCAAAGTGAAATAAAAACTTTCTTTATTCATATTTCTTTTAAACTAGAAGCTAAAATCCAACTGTTAAATTTATCTGGATAACCTTTCCACTTCACTAATACTTCTTTTCTGTTACCCGAATAACGAGTATCAATTATTGTATCTATTTTATATTGTAAGGTGGGGTTGTAAGTGATTTTCTGTAATTCTCTTTCATAAAAAGTACCAACTATTGGTTCATTTTGTAAATCTGTTATTGTATAAACAACCCATGGAGATCTATCAATTATTGAAAATATTTCATCACTCCAATTTGATTCATATCCTTTTTGGAAAAAATGTTTATATTTAGTTATTCGAACATGATCAACCACATTGAAATTTGGTTTAGGTATTTCTAAAGAAAGTTTGTTTGACCGTCTATCATAAAGATTAGTCCAAACTGTCATAATATTGTTGGAATTTACATCACATGGGCACATCTTAATACTAGAGTGAAAGCTGTGATTATAAGAGTAGATTAAATCTTGTAAAACATCTATATATCTATAAGTATTATTATGAGTGAAATAACGCCACATTTTCATTTTTAGTGTTCTTTGAAATCGTTCAACAATACTGGCCTTAATGTCAGGATTGTTAGTGGTATAGTAATTAATATTTTTGGATTTAAAGTATTTTTGTACATCTTTTGAAACAAATTCTGTACCTTTATCAGATTGTATGTGAGTAGGCGTTAAATTACTTTCAGTAAATATACTTTCAAAACATTCTTTAGTTGTTTTTGAGTTTTTCTTTTTCATTGATCTTGCAAAAGCGTATTTACTAAATACATCAATAACACAAAGTATATACTTGAAACCATCATTATATTGAGAATAAGTTCGCATATCACTGAAATCAGCTTGCCACAGTTCATTAATATTTGATAGAATGTACCTATTACGCGGGAATTTTTTTCTAATTGGTTTATGTAATGTGTATGTTTCTTGTGATTTTAACCATTCCTTTACTTGCTTTTTATTCATTTTACCCTTTATGGCTTTTGATAATTTATCAATGCTACCAAAACTAGCGGGATTAGATGCATCATAATCCTGTCACTTTCTTCTAGTACGGGGTCCATTTTTCCTACTCAAGCCTTTTACGTATTTTAGTTGTAGACTTTTTATCTTTACTATTCGGTGTAAAAAACTCTTGAACTTCAATCTCAGAGGGTTTGTTCAGATCTTTTCCTTGAAGTTGGTTAATAAACTCACATCTCTTTGGATTTCCAATATAAGTAAGTGGTACTTTAATATCTTTTAATGCTTCAGCAAATCTATACCACCCTACTGGATCACTTCTTTTTAAGGGTCTTAGTGAATCATTTATTAAATCAACAATATTACTTCCAGGAATTTTTTCATTATCAATTATGACTGTACCTTCATTATCCCAATGTATTTTACTTTTACTTGTTTCAACTAAGTTTAATAATAACTGTCCCTTCTTATTATAAGTTTTTGGTATTAAACTGAGTATTTGAGCTGGTGTGTAAAGTGGATTTTCATCATTTTCTTTACTTTTAATGGATCGATTCTCCTCCAACAAAGATTCAGTATTAACTGAAGTTTTTAGATCTCTATTTTTATTTTTAAAACCAATTTTAGACTTATTTGAATCTTCATTAGCTGTATCAGAATAAATTGGTAATCTGAGTGGTTGACGATCCTCTTCGAGTAGCGAGCGAGGGATTCTCCAGGGGTGCTAGTACCCTCTTGGGGTAGATTTTCACTTAATTCCGCTACCATGTTAAGGGGGGGGGGAATTGGACCTCCGGCCACCTACACTCCCAGACGAAACGCGGAAGCAGAGCTTCCACTTCACGCCATACCTGCACCAGCAAAGCTGCCGCGTGGCTCTACCAATGTTATCAAACACAACGAAAATATTTTGTTTTCTGACTAGAAATAGATTAGTTTAAAAAATTCTAAAGCTATATTGTACAAAGAATACATGCACAGAAAAAAATATAGTTCCTACTAATGGTACTCATTAGTCAAATATTATATATCATTGGTTAATGAAAATGATTTTGTGAACTACATATTTTTTTATGCAACCACAAAGCAATCAACTCACGTTCCTTAAATCATAAGTGACGTCGCCCGCATTTGATTTGATAGGTACATAATAATAGTAAATTATAAATCTTGATCGCGAAGCGTGAAGCATCATTTTCATTCCTCATCCTCAGTCGTTCTCATGTTGTTAATATAATCACTCGTAGACATTTGTTTTCGTACAAAACTAATCTAGTCAGTCATTTTAAATTTATAAATTATTTTTTATTCTTGAGGAACACGAACCGTTTTGATATTTGATTTGTCATAAACAGATAGTTCCAAAAATAATGTGTTCATATGTAAGCATTTTTCTAACATGTTATTTATCATGTTTAACCATAACAACTGGACAAAAAATGGATAAAGGTGCGATTGGATTTCCTGAGATCGAGGAAAACCCAAAATTTGAAAATAAACAGGTTAGTAATAAACTAATAAAAGTGGTATTAGAAATATGAAATTAGGTATAACACTTACGTACATTATACATTATACGTTATATATTATACGTTTATATAGCCAAACTTAAATTGTCAAGGTTAGTGATAAGGTAATCGGTGGTAAAAACCTATTATTTACATTTATTTAATTGTTAATTGTAATTCCCGTACATTTATATTTATTCTTCGACCTTTATTACGACTCTGGTATTCTGCGTTGCACTATGTAGGTAAATAATAGGCTGCTGAAACATTTTGCGTACTTCATAACTATCAAATATAAAGCGATTAAACAATTTATAGTATCTTTTATCCATGAAAGCGAGTATTTTTACGTACATATATGCATTTTAAAGGTTGGCAGTGGCGCTACAGACTTAGCAATTACAAGCGAACAATCGTTGGTAGCGACATAATCAGCTGATTTGTGGAAAACTGATTAGGCTAGTGTAAAAGCTAGGTACGATACGTTATAAAAAGTGCTAGTCCGAATTCGGTCAGATAAGTAGACTGAAGTATTTTAAAAAGCAAGCATTCACCTATGCATTATACATAAAACGTATAAAACATAGTAAGTATGTTCTTATGTCATAGTTAAACACATCTTAGTGATTTGCGAGCCCTGTTTCTCTCCACCCTCACTAATTTTGGTATAATCTCAGTTAATTAATTTTTTTATAGAAAGAAGAGGGGGCAAACGAGCATACGGTTCACCTGATGTTAAGTGACTACCGCGGCCCATGAACAACCGCAACACCACTAGTAGTGCGTTGCCGGCCCTTTAGAAAGGAGTAAGCTCTTTTCTTGAAGGTCCCCAGGTTGTATCGGTCCGGAAAAATCGCCGGCGGTAAATTATTCCACAGAGAGGTAGTACGCGGAAGAAAACTCCTAGTGAAACGTACAGTGGTGGACCGCCAAGCATCCGGACGGTGTGGATGGTATCGGGAGGTTTGCCGCGTAGCCATGAAATTTGGCTGGCTGGGATTAATCCGACCAATTCCTCAGAGCACTCCCCGTGCTAGATGCGATAAAATACGCAAAGAGATGCAACATCTCTTCGCAGCGCCAGTGAGTCAAGCCGATCGGAAAGCACTCGGTCGTCGACGATTATCTTCTTAAAAGGGGCAGAGTTACTTGAGTAACATTATTTATTTTGTAGAGTTTAGTTTTTTATTTGATACAGCTCCCTCTCTACCTTGAAGCACATCTAGATATTAACGTTTACATAAATTAAAAACAAATGAATTTAGAGAATTTGGTATTACCTATTGCTAATGCGTAATTAGTCAAATTAAAAACAAAGTAAAGTATTTATAAATACTCGTATTTCAAATTTTGGAGATTAGGTAGATCGTAGGAGTTATTGTTTTATATCTTTTGCACATACAAATAGAGTATTTTACTTCAGAAGTTTTAATTTAGTAAAATCCGAATAATGTTTTGATGATTAATAAATAACATTTATTAAAATTTAATCAGAATTTGATTATTTTTATTTTTATTTCATTTCTAGAGCATAAACAGAATATACAAGATAAGCATAAACAGTTATCTTCTATATTTGTATTGCAAGGTTAATAATAATTACACGCTTAAAAAAGTTGCGTGCAAAAACTTGATGATGACTTATTTAACAAATAAAGGAGAGCTAGCTATTCGTTATGCTTTCAGTCTCAGGGCTTTTTCAACAATCAGTTAGTTCAGTTTTCTTTGCTATTATTTTCATAGAGGAAACCAATTATTAATCGACTTAACTTCTCACTTTTTGCACGCATACTAATTAACATTATGTCCTGTGTGTTAAAACAATATGTAAGAAAAAAAAACATGTTTTGAGAATATCATATTAAGAGAACTAACGAAAAGATAGCCTCAGAGTATTGATGTAAAAGATCTATTGGTGCCCTTTGTCAGTATTTTCCGACTCGTATGCCGTGACGGCAGCGTTGTTCGTGACAAATTTAGAGTTGCCGTATTCTAACTCCAAAATTGCCGGATTTTTTAGGGAAAACTAAGAAAAATGCCGTATTGTACAAAATATTTGTTTAGAAGTTTACAATAAAAAAAACGTGAAATACATGTTGTTTAACATAATAAATAAGTGTGTACTATAAATGTACTAATTTTATTCTTCGCCATATAGGTTTTGAATAGTTTCCAGTACTTCTGATTCTGTCGCATTTGGGTCGTACTGTTTTTTTATCTTTCATTTTACGAATCATTTACTTTGGCACTTGAAATTTTGTTAATTACCATTACCGATCCGGATCTCCATGGTTCTGAAGGTTAGAGAACAGGAGAAAGATCGCCATAGAAAATAGTGTCCCAGAAATATGAACACCATAAGTGAGGAGCTGCGATCGCTACGTTCAGTCAATAAAAGTCATTTTCAGTCTATTTTTCCGATCAGATGCTAAACCACTTGCACATCCACGCACAATAAAATATTTCTCCATTTTTTAATGTTTTTTTTTTGTCAAAAATTACAAAATTACGGAGCATGAAAATTTTCTCACCAATGCCGCGGAGAAAATTTGTACATTATTCAACTAACTTCATCTACTTATACTCATAAACAGTTAAATTTCGCAGCCACTACTCACCGACGTCAGCGCCGCTATAAATTCTACAATTTTCAAGGACAGGTGGGCTATGCTTTAGCACGTAGTAATCGTTCTCCTGTTCTCTAACCTTCAAGGTTCACAAGTTGGTGTGTTCCATTATACGAAATATTTTTTTTTACTTCAGACAATTACCGTATATTTTAATACGGTAATCAATAGCTGCCGTATACCGTATTTTTGTTGCTTAAGATGCCTGAATGCCGTACATTACGGCAATTGCCGTATTAAGAACAACGCTGCGTGACGGCAAATTGCATGGCACTTTCTTGCCGCCATCCCCTCTCAACGCCACGCCATTTGTTCTCGACTCACTTGTGTATGCTGACGCGTATACTACACACTTTATTGCTTCACTGTGCGAGTTATGTACTGCGTATATCTTTGTATTGGGCGGTTTTCCATTCACCGGCACGGCGCTGGCACGGCACTGGCATGGCCACGGCACGGCGCGGGTGCCAGGATTTCGTTTATCCATTGCGCTGGTGCCGGTGTCAGTTTAGTCTACGCTCGATTTTTGGGAAGTATTAACACAGACTTCAGTACTACAATACGTCAAAATGGTTTCGGTAATTCGTCGCATTTATTTATTATAGAGAAGTCAAATTTTGAATTCATCCAGTCTTATAAGACTATAACTTTACACTTAGCAGGGATATATTACTACAGCCCATTTTAAAAGTTGAAAATGGACTCCATAAAATATTTTAATTACTTCCGTATGAACGAGGAGATATTTCATTATTTCATAAGTTAATTTCGAATCTTAATCTCAACGCGTCCCTTTTACCACAGTTAATATTATAATGTTACGAGCTTGAGGTTCGTGACAATAAAAATTGCCGATAGGATTACCTAAATTAACACTTTAATTTTCTTTACACAAATTAAAACTTAAAACACCAATAATTAAGCACACTAATTCACTTTATTCCGCTCCGAAGCTTCGCTTGTCTCGCCAAATTCAATACTTCCCCCGATCGCACCTTGCAGCGCCTATAAATACACATTAGTACCGAATCCTCCAGAACATTCAAGTAAATACGCGCACCAATCGACAAAGCGCCGAAAGTTCGAGAGTCAGCTTCCAGAAGCTTAGTTCTTCATTTCGATAACAGATGGCGCTGTCGGTTGAAAGATTAGTGATGTCAATTTCTGGAAAGCTCTCCCTTCGCTCTGTTACCCGACACTAGATGGCGCTAGTGCCAAATGTCAACTTAGCCGCACAACACTGCCCCCTCCTAAGACATGCTCGTCCCGAGCATTATCGGCCCCATAATAACGCGCCAGGCGATCCACATGGACGATCTTAGAAGTCCCTCTTGCGCCCTTCTGTATCCGATAGGTTACATCGTTGATCCTGCCGCCGCCAGGCGGTGATGTTAGCCGCCCTTCCCTTCTGTGATCGTTCACCTTCCCTTTCTAGGGTTCGCTTAGGGCAGCTGGATCGACGATGGCCCCTTTCCCCACAGCCATAGCACCTAGGGCTGTATCCTTTATCGTGGCCGCGAACCGTAACTGCTGTAACCTCCCTAGCGTGAGGGGAACGATGATCCTGCCGCACGGCTTCCACCTCCAGTGCATGGGCCAAGGCGTCCTTAAGCGTCTCTTGGTGCCCGCGCCTCACAGCAGCTCTGACTTCAAGGTCGCGGATGCCGTCGATGAATGTCTGCACCAGGTTCCCTTCAATGAGCGAAGGTACATACCGGTATGCTTTCCGCACCAGCTTCTCCACCTCTAGAGCCCACTGCTGCAGGTTTTCGTTGATGCGCTGCACGCGATCTTTAAGCTGCGCACGAAAGACGTGTTCCAGGTGAGCGTCGCCATATCTCGCCTCCAATGCCTCAAGGAGTTGCTCATAAGTCACTTCCTCACCGAGAGCTACCAGAACTCTTAAGGCCAGGTCGCGCAGGCCTACTGTGAGAGCAGTCATCGCCTGACTTTTATTCCAGCCGTTCGCCTTCATAACAGCCTCGTACTGGATTTTGTAGGCTGATCAGGAAGAAGTCCCGTCGAACGGCGGCACTTTGAACCCACGTAGCGAAGGTGTAGTAGCTAGTTCGGAAGCTGTAGTTCTATCCCCAAGTTTGAGTTCGTCCAGTGATTTCTTCATGTCAGCCATTACGTTGTCAACCCGATTGTTTACTTGGTCGATTCGGGTTTCGGCTTTCTCGATTCGGGTTTCAGCTTTCGCGATTTGGGTTTCAGCTTCTGACAGGCGGTTGTCATGCTGAGCAACCCTATCGTTCACCTCCTTGATCTCCTTCCCGAAAGTAGCGTGAAGGTTCTTCATGAGGAGCATCTGCTCTTCCAACCAACGGGCCTGTTCCTCTTGTCCGTCCCGCAGCTGCTCTTCCA